GCCCCAGCATTGGTCAGCCTCTCTCGCCATGACCTCCCAAGTGCTGCGCTCCAGTGACAGAATATAAAACGTGGCCCTGCTTAGTGGAGGCCACTGGTCACAGTGGTAGCAGCCGGAACTGTAAAGGAAACGTCTGTGTTTGTTTGTAGCTTGGAGCAAAGTCTTACTAGAGGGAGATCAACTCAGGCCAGAAATCAGCACTGGCACAAGGAAAGGGAAGGAAAAACCACTTTGCTAAGGGTGCTAGCCTGCAGCCTGCAGTCTAAATTGACTGGACAATCCCACCACGGAGAACCTTCTGCGCTCGAAAAAGCCAAGTCCTCCTGTTACTAACTTGGGCAGTTATAACGTTTAGAAGGAGATAAACTGGTGTTGGCAAAAAGGGGATTGTAAGGGTCTTGGCTTCCCACACGCGCCTGCTGTTTCAGACACTGTCAAGGCCGGGAAGCAGAAGGACGAGGTCTTCAGACGTGGCAGAGACAAGACCTTTGACCGTGGTTCACAGCCAAGCTCTCAAGACTGGCAACGCTTCTACTAGGTATTTAAGCTTTGGAAACGCTACTGAATCCAGAAAGATACAGGAATGCTCATTTGCACATTGTCCATAACCGAAAATCTGGGAAACTGTCATTAGAATAACTAAATAATTATGACATAGCCACCAAGCGAATGCCTTAAAAATAATGAATTACAGCAGCATTTACTAGTATGGAAAGCTGTTCTTTTTTTTTTTTTTCTTTTAATGTTTGCGAGAGAAACATGCAGCACTACCAGCGGGGGGAGAGGGGGCAGAGAGAAGAGAGGCCCAGAAAGGATTGAAAGCAGGCTCCAGCTGACAACAACGAACAGCCAGTCTTTGGGGGCTCAAACTCTGAAACTGGCCAGTGGTCATGGCCTGAAACTGACCCGATCTTAACAACAAACCCTGGTGCCCAGGAAATATTCTTTTTTGGTATTTATTTTGAGAAGAGAGACAGTGCAAGCAGGGGAAGAGAGGGCAGAGGGGAGAAGAAAGGGAGTCTTAAGCGGTTCCCATGCTCAGCGGGCCCTTCCGGGAGGGGCCTAGATCCGTCCTGGACCAAGGGCCACAGGAAATCAAGGTTGACAGCTCAGTGGGCATGAAGGAGAGCCACCAAAGGCTTCCAGGAGGCTGTTATTTGTATAAGAATATATGTAAATTAGTGGGGGAGAAAAACAGGTGGTTTCCCACAGCAATTTTGTCTTTTCTCATTTATATTTTGTGTAACCCTTTCAACTAACCCTAGAGGCTAACAAAGAGCCAGAGGCACAAATACCTGCAGGAATGAGGCTTCAAGGAGGGTTAACAGTTCTGTTACTATTTGACTTTTGTTATATGGCGTATCATTATTTTTTTAGAAATCTTTTTTTTTTTAGAAGGCATTTTTTCAACGTTGATTTATTTATTTTGGACAGAGAGAGACCAGAGCATTTTTCGTGGTAGGCTGAGGGGGCAGAGAAGAGAGGAGAACACAAGTCTGGGAAACAGGCTCCAGGCTCCAGAGCCATGTCATCCCAAGCAACAGCCAGCGGAGACTCGGAAACACCTCGCAGAGACTTGAGATAAGTGACCTAGTCAGGCCATGTACAGAACTTCATACAAGCATTATGAGAATCTTTTTAAATCTCAAACTGTTCTCAAAGTGTAAGCGTACTAACTCATTTAAAATTTGAAAGTAAAAATGCTGAGGCACTCTTAGGGAAGATGAGATTTTTGAAAATTTATTTATTCAGCAAGTGCCTATGAAGAATCAATCACACTCACACGGCTCTGTGAGAAGCTACATGTCCAGCACAAGGGCATTCCTCGTCCCCTGCAGTTAGCGGCTGGCATCTGTCACCGCAAAGGATCCCTTTGCCGGATCTTTTTCACTGTCCCCCTTCCCCATTCCCTGATTTGGAGGATTCTGTTTAGGAAAGCGGCCTTTATTTGCCAAGCGGTAATTCTCTCTTGATTATCTTGCCATTGACGAGGCCGGGTAGCTGTCACTCGGTGCTTCGTGAGGTCCCAGAGAAGGAGCAGCTGACTCGGTAAAGAGAAGCCCCTGGCTTCTGCCGTGCTGCGGTCTCCATCACAGTGGTGAACTGCTGAGCAGACTGGAGAGTCTGCCCAGTTTTCCTAGTTCTTGGCAACTTACAACGTGAATAAACCAATCTTGAAATAGCCAACGGCTTATTGACTTAAGTAATGGGCAGATCGCGAGAGGCCAGACGAGGAAGGTACGTGCTGGCTATACTTGAGTAAGAAAACCTGGGCCAGGTTCCCCAGGATGTCTTTTATCAGCTCAGAATGAACAACGGGCTCCCCGGATCCTGTTGTGCCCCTGGCTGCCTTCCGCAGGAATGGAAGCGCGGGGGCCTGTTCTGCTCTCTACGGAAGGGCCCTGGTGAGATGGTCTCTCTACGGAGCCTGACGTCTGCTGTCAACTACCAGCGTGTTTGCGGTCGCTGCGAAATCACTGAGAAATTCGGCTTTGTTCTGTGCGAAGTTAAGACCGACCGTGGCACACGTTCCTTTCCCCGCTGTGCAAGAACACACTTCACTGAGAACTACATTGATCTCTGTGAATCTTTCTCTAAAAATCTGGGCGACACAATGCGTCATAAAGTTTTTGCCAGCTGTTAATCATCCAGGGTAGCCAACCTTCAGGCGGTTACCTCTCCATGCTGGATAATTCCCTGTGACCATTAAGATTTATTCTGTCCCACGACGTGTATTAGTATCTTTGACACGTCATTTTCTTAGCAGATTCTAACTCAAAAAAAAAAAAATATGTTAACATCTGTATCATTTTAAGCTGTAAAAAAAGGCATTTTGACAGGGAAATCACCCTGAGGAAGAACAAGAACTTTCTGCTGCGGAAGCAACACGAGGCTCTTTTGGAAAAACGCCAAGCCTTCCTCGGCACCCCAATCGCCTCTCCCCCAACGGGTCGTGACCGAGCTGCCCGGGGGCCCGGCACAGGAAGCCACTTCCGACGTCCCAGATTCCAGAAGAGCCTGGCCACGGGAGCCTGGCCTGCGGAAACGTCCGGTGACTTGGCCACAGCCGCGTAAAGAAGCCCACCGGCCTAAGGAGCGCAGTCCCGTCTTGATCTGCAGTCCTGTCTTCATCTGCAGCCCTGCGTTTCTTGCTCCGCTGCCCAAGGGCGTCGTGCGACACGCGAAGCCACGGGCTCTGCGTCGGGTTTTATTCCGAGCTGCAAAACGGACCTCCGGTCACGAAGGAGGGGGGCTATGGGGCGCGACCCTGGGCCCCGGCGGGTTTCCGGGCGACGGAGGTGGATCGGGGCCCTGCCGCTGCCTTCAATGAACCGCTCTTCCGGGCGCTGCAGTTTTCGCGGCGGTTGGCAGGCTCTGCGCTCACCGTCACGCCTTTGATGGCCCTGCCGCCGCGCACCTGACAAATCCCCACCCCGAGGGGGCAGCCGGGCCAAAGGGCGGCGGGCGCGCGTGCCGGCGTGTCCGCGTGTGCACAGGCACGTGGGTGCGGAAACGGGCCGGCGGGACGGGGAAGTCCGCCGCGATTGCCCACTTTGGCGGCCGCGGTGAAAAGGGGACGCCGCCGGAATCGTCCGCGTGTTCACGGGCGAGGCTGCCGCGAACTTGGGTGGTGGGAAACCGAGGTCCGCGACTCAAGCGGCCCACACGAGCAGGGCTGATGGCGGTGAGGAAGAACTCCCGTCCCCGGGACCCCCATCACTGTACCCGGGGCCAGGGCACACCGGGCTCCGGGGGCGCGGTCTTCCCGCTGCGGCGGCGGCGGGAATGGCCCGAGGTAGGCGTGGGTCAAGGTGCGGGGACGGCGGGGCCGCAAGCGCTGCCCCGGTGACCAGTGGGAGGGCCGACTGGGGGGCGCCTTCGGGTGGAGAAGCGGGGAGCCCAGCTCGGCGCAGACTTCCGAGTTACCCAGGTCCGGCACGTGCCCTCAAGGGCTGGCTTTTGGGCCACGTGGCCTTCCAGGCGCACCAGCTGGTCAGCACCTTCGCTCATCCCGGGAACGTGCTGGATTCGATCGCAAACAAACAGATCACAGAGTTTGCCGCTACCAGGGGTCTTGGGAGTCATCTAGTCCCATCCTCCTATTTTGTAGGTGAGGATGTGAAACTCCACCTGAGCACGGAGAACACAGAAGCCGAAGACAGGCACCTTTTTATGGCATTTTCTCAGGCGGATCTGTGTTCATATTTTTGTTAGAAACACGGGAGGGAGCTGCGGCAGGAAGGAAGGGGCCCGCTGAGAAAACAGAGCCGGTGCGGGGGAGGGAGGGCCCGGCCAGCATCGCTGTCACAGCCACTCTCTTCCTTCACACTGGGACGCTCACCGAGGCCCCCAACGTCTACCGGAGCGTTTTTCACTATCAGGAGGCTGGGTAGAGAGCTAGCCCTGCATTGTGCACACAAGCATAGCATGCTGTTCACGTGAGCTTCAACTCCCCAGCAAAGGAGTGCGTCCTGCGCTATTAATAGAATCCGCATCTGACGTCCACGGTAACAATCTAGGAAGTAACAGCCACGGCAGGGACATTCGAAGAAAAAAGTGATAAAGACGAACAGCTACCTCAGCTCTTATTGGCCCTTAGTTGTTTGGCTACACCCCTGCTTCGTCCCGCTGGATTTTCCCGACGAGAACTGGAAAACCATAGTCTCTCTCTGAATGGACACTCCTAACACGTCAGCCCAGGCCCTCTCATCCTTTCCCGCTGCCCTCGGGGGACATCAGCTCCCTGTGGGGCCCCGGGGACTTCACGAAGGCACAGCCTCCCCTCGTGTCCCTTCTCCGAGCCTCCAGTCCCTGCCATGGGTTTTCCCTGTTGAAGCCCTAACCCGCCATGGGATTGCCTGGCACCCACAAAGGCATCACCTCCTTCCTCCCTCCCTGCTCCCCGGGCGGCGGCCCGTGGGTGGCGCAGAGCGACGGGGGGTGTTTATCTCCTGCTCTGCACAGTTGCCAGCGAATCCTCCTTGGGCTCCTCTCTCCCGCCGGGATCTCGCTGTGCGTGCCGATTACGAACCCAACTCGGCACTGCTTCATCAGATACACAGATGAGAAGACCTCTATTAAGATATAATTAAATTTCTAAGCAAAACCATCAATGCAACTTCTGTAAGGATGATTATAATCATCAGTAGCGTATTATGAGGCCAGAATCATGCATAAGTGGGTACAGTGTAATGACTAAACAACTGCAGATTAATATAAAAACCAACCACCATTTCACAAGAGAGAATTCTCTAGTGTCACTCCTCTAAGACACTTCCCAAAGCCGGAACGAGACGTGCTTCTATCCTGCGCTGGACAAGCGTCCAGGGACGGGGAATCTTTGCTTCCCCGCAGCAGACAGACATAGCCCGGGACTCTGAAGGGTCCCTGGGCAGCGGTAAGGCCGGGCGCCCGGCTCCCGCCTTCTCTCAGTGAGCGTCACCCGGTGGTAAGAGAAGACCCACTCTGTGGGCAGAATGCGTCCAACGTGGCGTGCGAGTGAACTCGGCTGGCCAGGCCAGCGACACGCGGCTCTGGACAGAAGTGTGCTGGGTTGTGTTGGGGTCTGAGGCCCGCAAAAACCTCACACACCCACAGCAGCACCTTCGTGGAAACAGTGGCCCTGGGGTAGACGCAGAGATGAGAGCGGCCGCCAGCGGTTCAGCAGCGCCCACTTGCTAGACGGTGGCTTACCACGGGGGCAACCAAAACGCTGACAATTAGGACACGGGAGGTGAAACTACCACCCACGCCACACAGATGGCTGCCCGAATGACCGAGCTCTAACAGTTTTCAGAGAGGCCACTTCCAAGGGAATTTAATTCAACCTTGTATTATGTCTGGGAAATCTGCCTGATGTTCCTAGGATTACTTCTGCCAGTGAGGACAGGAAGAGGGGCCGATCGACAGGTCTGAAAACAGAGGGCAGTCAAGGATCTCGGCAGCCTGGAAAGCGTGAGCAGGCCACTTTTCTCTGTATCACGGCCATTATTTTCCTAGATCGTGACTATGAACATTACGTGGGATGCTGGGATCAGAACAGCATAAATCCCTGTTTCAGAACCGTCTCTCAGAACTCTTGAGGCTCACGCACAAAGCGGTGTCCTACCTAAGCCCCTGGGTTTGACCTGATAACAGCCCTGGACCCTGGTACTCCTGGAGCTTGGAGGCACAGCCCAGACCAAGATGCCCACACCACGGCCGGGCCTAACCCTGAGGGTGTGGACTAGGCCTCAGGTGGCCGAGCTACCCTGGGGTCACCGACCGTCCTCATCCTGTCTATGCTCTATTTACCCATCCACCAGCAAGTCAGGGGCAATTGTGTGCTCCAGTGGCGGGTAAGAGACAAGCGAAACTCCAAACGGGATAAAATCTTGGCTGGTAAGCAAAGTCAGCAGGCTTTCATGAGGCAGAGGAGACCTCTGCCAAGGTCAGATGGAACATCCCCTGTGGTGGCATCGTGATGCAGGGGGTGGCCCCGCCACTGCCCTGGGGGGTTTACGCGGGAGCTCACCCGCTAGGCCAGAGGCACCCAGGAGAGAAAAGACTCTCACTCAAGAGCTGTTTCTCTTTTGCAGGCAACAGTTCTGCTCAAGTTCCCCAGGAAACCCTTCCCGAATTTTCTGCAGCTGAGAACAGACACACTCCGGTTTTTAGAGGCTCAGCAACGCGCCTAGGCTGGCCCTGAAGATCTCCGTGGTTGCTGTTCTACAGCCCTCCCCGTTTCCATCCGCTTGTGCTAAGGATTTCTTTAACGAGGAAGGAAAACAAGAGTCACCCGAAAAACCTGCAAACCTTGAATCCTCTAGTAACACCAGTAGAAGTCTTAGAATTCTATATGATGAAAGATTTAAAAAGCCCACTTAGAAACAGTGCATCTACGATACTTTTATCTTTGAAAGGATGCTTCGATCCCGTTTCTTCCAATCAGGATTAGACAGCTTAGATGTCGCCCAAGCTCCTTTCGTTGTATTTTGCGGAAAATGGACGGGGTGGGGGTGGGGGGGTTCCCACACTAGCCCTAGGGATGCCACACACACATCCCTGCATCAGGCTTCCCAAAGAAACCTCCTCGCAAGAAGCGTTTGGTGGCCCCCCCATCACAGCATTCAAGGCTATTCTTTGACCTTTTTCTTCCATTAATTTCATCCATTTCCATGTAGATGCATGTAGGCATTCTGCTTGGAGTGACATGGAATCTGTATACATTTTAGCGAGAATCGACTACAGCCACAATAATAACTCCTCCTGCGGATCGGGGGATGGCTAACTCTGGCCTGCACCTGTGTTTGTCAAGTTTTCTTGGAACACGGGCCATTCAGGTACACCTGGTCCGTGGCGACTCTTGCGGTTGCATGGCAGAGTTGAGAGGTAGTGATATATTTCTTCTCCGGCCCTTTACAGGGAAAGTTTGCTGACCTCTGTTCTACATGAATGTGGCATATACGTCTCCATGAATTTAGAGGTTTTTTTCCCCTCCGCTCTTCTCACAAGGTTATTAAGTTTTCCCTGTAATGCAAATTTTTGTTACATTTATTCCTTGATACTTGATATTCTTTGACACTGTGGTAAAAAACATCTTCGTAAGTAAAATGTCTAGTTGTTTCCGGTTGGCATACAGCAACGCAACAGACTTTTGTAGATGATTCTTCTACTTACGCTTCTTGTTAGACTCTCTTCTTCCTCGTAGTCACTTGCAGATCTTTAACATACACAATCCAGGTGTGCCTGCCAGTGGTGACAGCTTTATCTCCTCCTTTTCAATCCTTCTGCTTCCACTTTTCTCTTGCCTTACTTTGGTTAGAGTTTCCAATCCAATGTTGAGCAGAAGAGCGTTGAACGCCTGCATCTGATTTTAAAGGTGATGATTCCAGTGTTTGTCTCTTTAGGACCGTATTTCCTTTTGGTTACTCTCTATCAAGTTAAAGAAGTCCTCTCTTCCTAACTTATCAAGAGTTTTATTTTAAACACGAATGGACAGGGCGCCTGGGTGGCGCAGTCGGTTAAGCGTCCGACTTCAGCCAGGTCACGATCTCGCGGTCCGTGAGTTCGAGCCCCGTGTCGGGCTCTGGGCTGATGGCTCAGAGCCTGGAGCCTGTTTCCGATTCTGTGTCTCCCTCTCTCTCTGCCCCTCCCCCGTTCATGCTCTGTCTCTCTCTGTCCCAAAAATAAATAAACGTTGAAAAAAAAAAATTTAAACACGAATGGACACTGACAATTGTCAATATATTTCTTTCATCGACTGAGTTGATCCAGTGGTTTTTCTCCTTAATCTGCTGAGGGGATTCATTGCACTAACAGATTTTTCTAATGTGAAAAAAGCCTTGCACAATTCAGCATGGTCAAAATGTTGTATCTTTTTTTAAAAAATTTTTTAAAAACGTTTTTATTTATTTTGAGAGACAGAGCACAAACTGGGGAGGGGCAGAGACAGAGGGAAACGCAGAATCTGAAGCAGGCTCCAGGCTCTTAGCTGTCAGCACACAGCCCGATGTGGGGCTTGAACCCATGAACTGTGAGATCATGACCTGAGTCGAAGACTGAACCACCCAGGTGCCCCAAAATGTCGTATCTTTTAAATATATTGTTGGATTAGATTTACTAATATTTTATTTAGGATTTTTACTTCTATACTTATGGATGAAACTGGCCTATGATTTTCCTTTTTGATAATATCTTTGTCTAGTTTTGGTATTAGGGTTGTTGGTCACATAGAATGAGTTGTGGAGTATTCTCTCTTTTTCTAGCATCTGGAAGAGTTTACATAAAATTGAGATAATCTATTCTTTGAAAGTTTGGTGGAACTTGCCTACAGAACATCTAAACCTATGTCTTCATTGTGGATAGATTTTTAATCACTGCTTTCATTTCTTAAAGAGGTATAGGGTTTTTAATCTTTTTTCCCCCTTTTCATCAGTTTTAATATGTTATATTTTCCTAGATATTTGTCCAAATTGTGGGCCTTTATCTTTGATATTATTCATTATCTTTTATATCTCAAATTTACCTGTAATTCTATCCCTCTTTCCTTTTATAGTTGTCTTTATGTGTATCTTCTCTTCGTGGATCTTGCCAGAGCTTTGTCTATTTTTGTTTCTTTCTTTTAGTTTTTTTCAAATAACCAACGTTAGCTGTACTGAACTTTTCTCTACACATTGGAGATTAGAAAGCAGTCGAAACAAACCAGAATAATTGTCCAAGCGATTCATGGATGAATTTAGCAATATGACATGAAGTGCACAAAGTCCCATAGTTTTTATAATTATTGCTGCCCAAGGATCTAGAACTTCAGACTGTGGCAAATCAAAAACAAACAACAAAAACCCCTAAAGATGCAAGGCTCTGTTTAAATCTCTAGTTGTAAAACTCTAATCCAGCTTTGAAAGCCTTTGACCTTTAGGGGTCAAAGGTCTGTGATGCTTCTCCATGATATTAAAGTTGGTCAGTGTTAACCAAGACTTTGAAATGATTGCTAATGGTGAATCGAAAGACTCAAGAGAATAAAAGCAATGGTTATTATTATCAAGGTGACAAATGTAAGAGTTGGTGACTTCGGCTTTTAACGCAATTTTCCATTAGGCAAAGGAACAGCCAGGCTCGGGGCTCTCCCTTCACTGTCATGAGCTACCCCGGACATTGACTACTGCGGGTTCCCATGCCTGCTGGCCTCCCCACCGCTGTGGATGGAGTCCCACTACTCACCTTCAAGACCACTTTGCCGCTTCCTCCATGAAACCTCTCCCGACCTCGCTAGAAAGTGATTTCTCTTGAGGACCTGGTCTATCTGGCTCATCGCCTTTACCAAACCGCAAGCCCTAGGAGGGCATGACAGCGTCCAATCACCCTGGTAGTCTCTAAAGTACCAAACGTAGGGTGTATAATTCAACTCCCCACTGAACAGATACTTAACGACGTTCTACTGTATGCCCAGGTTTCTGTCTGTCGGTTGGGACATAATACAGATGTGTGATATGTTTTGTTGCTTGGACTTTCCTTAAAAAAAATATTGGGATCAGTTTGATCCCTAAAACTCATTAACTTTCTGAGTTCCATCCAGGATTAGTAGTGCTAGTCAATTAAATGACTCAGTTTCTCCATAGTATCACACATTAGTGACCAAATAACAACGAGGGGCCAAAAAAGGGGAAGTTTATACTATGGACAAGAATTTCTATTAGTTTAAGAAAGTTTCTAATCTATTTCGGGTTTCCATCAAATGTGATTGAAAGAGACTAATGTTTTGGCACTTGTAATATTGTGGCTACGTGGGAAGTTCTGTTTGTACGTTACACACGGCTGCGGACACACTCTCTTATGCCCAAATACGAATTCTAAACTTTAGAGAATAAACCAACAAGGCAGGCTCCAAAAAAATTTGGTTGCAGGTAGGTGGCAGGACAATAGAAATACTCCCTTAACAATACCCTAGTTTTTAATCGGTGATCGGATCTTATTTTGTACGGTTACTTGTGGGGTGAGAGGCAAAAATGCCAATATGGGACGTGTGATCTTTTTTGAAGGGAAGAAAGACTGTGAAAATTCTGAAGCCTTCAAATTGACAAGGCGTTAACAGTTGAGGTGGTTAATGAGTCCTAAAGGGCTACTCAGAAGATTCAGATGAAATCTGTCACCGATGTGAAAAGTTCCACTGAGTTTCTTTGCCCAGTCTCGTGTTGAGACCGTGAGAACCTCGGAGCAGGAACGGGATGGCCACTTCCCCCTCGAGGCCATGCTCCCGGCCGGCAGGTGGCCGGAGGGGTGGGGGCGGAGTGGTCGGGGGACCTGCTGTGTACCTGGGGGGTTGGCAGTGCTGCTCTCTTAGCAATATCCTAGGTCAAAAAAAAAAAAAAAAAAAATAGGCCTACGCCAAGGGGAAAAAAGAGTTCCGGGTTCCAGGAAAAGCACCTGCAGACTTTATCAAAGCGAGTGTAAGCTGGGGACCTTCCACGGGACAGGCTTTAGCACCCATCTCTGCACGCCCCTCGGGGCCAGCGGGGACACGGAGACCTGTACCTGTTTCTCAGCTTGTTTCAGGAGCTTCTGGAAGCGCTCGTCCTCCAGCACGCCCGGTGGAAGGTCAGTCTCCCCCTGAGCTTTCAGCGCCTCCAGCTTCTGCCTCAGGCCCCTCAGGGCCTGCAGCTCGTCGTTGAGGCGGCTCTGCCGGGTGAGAGACGCCTGAAGGTCCAGTTCTAGGTCCAGGGATGTGCGCACGGGCCGTTCCTGCGCCGTTCTTCTCAGGACGGGCTGGCACACCGTCTGCAGGGTCAGAAGACAGAACAGCACAACACCCTCATTATGGTGGCTGGTGGTGGCCATCCGGCTCCTCGTCCCTCCTGGCACGTCTCCGTGCTCCGGGAAGGGAGGCGCCAGCGGCCGAGGAGAGGTGAGTGGCGGTGCCGGGCACCGCCAGGCGGCAGCCTTTCGAGGCCGGTGTGACGTGTGGACATTTCCGTCCCCGGCTAGAGGGACGGCAAAGATTCAGGGGTGGAGGCCTCGTCGGCTCGGGTCCCGAGGGGAGACAAAATGAGCAGAGAGAGCATTTAGCCAGCCGGCAATGAACAAGCAGCTGAGTAAGAAACGAACCTGTGTTGGTTCAGACCGCAGAGGCTTTGTGAAGTTGTTGCTGTAGCACAAGCCTCACTTAGCCTGACCGTTTTACCACCTGGCGCCTGCCCTCTGTGCAAAACAAACATAAGAAACTTACGCTCCCTCCAGCTCAGGACACACGGCGGCACCCCACTGCTCACTCCTCGGGCCCTTGTTTCTGGAAGCGCCAGCCAGAATGCAGCTTCTCGGCGCGGCTGAGAGTCTGAGCGCCTCCCCCACCGATACGCTCAAACCCCAACCCCTTCCTTGAGTTCCCACTGTCTAACAGGCACTTTCACCAGCGAGTCACTGGTGCTCTTCCTGGGGCCAATCTTACCCATTTGCCAAGAAATAATGATTGAATACGTGTGAATAAATGTCTGCTGGGTAGGGGTGGGGGGTTGGCTGTGGGCCACACACCAGGGAGAGAAGACCCAGTCCTTGACCTTGAAGACGTCCAGCCGTGAGCAGTGAGGTAGCGCCTTCTGCGCCACAGGAAGGGAGAGACCACTCACAGCTGGTCACGCCTACTTGACGAAAGGAAGTCGGAAGAGACTGGGAAGGTTGCATGAGCAGAGGGGAACGAGGAGGGTATTTTTTGTCCAGACCACTGGCAGTGGGAATGGAAAATAAGAGTAAAAACTGGTACTCTTTGATGCGAGAGAGGAGGGACTCAAATTTGAGAAGTACTCGGGCTTGAAGATCTGGACGACAGGGGTGCTCATGACAGATGGCAGAGGGAGGCCTGCTGTCCCTCTTCCTGTTTCAGGGCTGCATAGCTTGTACCCCCTCCTCCTTGTCCCACACATATTGCTGTAACATTCTCGAACATTCTATAATCTTCTTGTTAGGTCCCCTGTATTCGGTCTCTGCTCTAACAAACTTATTACACAGCAGAATCACCTAGACACACATGTGCTTTGGCTGTATTACTTTTTTTCAGAATAAGAAATCCTTCCTAGTGGTTATGTGTACGCGTGTGGTGTTGTGCTGGCCGATGTTTAACAAGCAGCTCCGGGGGCGGGGGGGGGGGGCACGGGTGCAGAAAAAAGCACCGGTCGGGGGCGCCTGGGTAGCTCAATCAGGTGAGCATCCAACTCTGGATTTCGGCTCAGGTCATGATCCCAGGGTCGTGGGATCGAGCCCTACATCAGGCTCCAGGCTGGCAGCATGCAGCCTGCTTGGGATCCTCTGTCTCCTTCTCTCTCTGCCCTTCTCATGCTTGTGCAGGTACACCGACTCTCTCTTTCTCTCTCTCTCTCTCTCAGAAAAAAAAAGCAGCAGCAGCCTGGGTTTGTAAGAATTTGCTGATTTCCATGGTGTAACTACTCCTGTCATCCCAGTTTTCATGCTGTCAACGCGACGTTACTGCACTGGGAAGACCACACAGGTATCCCTCCTCCCCACCTCCCACAGAGCTACTATCTTCTTTTAAAATTTCAGACAGGGGTCAAGGCCACAGACCTCCCCCATCAAACCTTTTAGATTCCCACAACCAGATGAGCTCAGTCCTTTCTCTCTCACCCAGGCACCTTTCCCAGCCCTGTGTGCTCCCTGGATGCCTTCTGTAGACTGGAAACTCCTGCGGCCATGTCTGCCTCGCTCAGCACACACGATGCTTCGTCCTCACTTAAAACGACGCATCTAAGCTGCAATACGATGGCTTAATAAATTACTAAACAAATTATTAGCAGGAAAGTAACTCTCCATCAGTATTTCAGCTGTAAGTAAGCGGGAACTGTTGAAGTACCCGAACAGTCCAACCTTTTAACGTATCTAAACATTCTCTCACACTCATCCTTTAAGGCCAGTCCAGAGCCCGACGTCCCCAGGTCAGCTGGAGCTTTCCCGTCCACGTTAACCTTAACCTTCCCGAAATACCTGTTTTCAAGCAAGTTGCTAAAACCGTGCACTCCTGTACCAGAACACCGGTCCTTCCAAAAAGGTACTGGGTGTTACACCACTCCCACAACAGCTCCAGAGCCAGATGTGGGGTGGGGACCTAGCAGCCATCAACCATTCGGCAAGCCCCTTCTCCATGGATACCGCAGAGTGAATTTCCTGGCTTAATTAGCACAGGATCCAAATCAGCACTGAGTGGCCGCTCTCCGGGGCACCCTCCCTCCATCTCCGTAACTAACACGACATCTGTGTCTCTCTGGAAGTACGGTGGCCTCATTCAGTAGCCCAAGAGCGTGCAGCAATGACGCTCAGGAGTTCTGGTACTTTTGCTTCACGATCTGTGGTTCTGGGTTGGTCGGAGACAGTGAGATGTTGCGAAAGGAATACATACCCTTTTGACCCTCAGACTGCGCCGTTCGGTGGAGTTTCTCACAAACAGTGATTTTTTAGCCAGGGTTGAGCTGTCACTGTCACTTCGATTCAACTGGCAACAAAGGATATTAAAAAAAAAGAGAGAAAAGAAAAGAAAGAAAATCACTGCAAAACAGCGTGCTAGCGGTTTAGAACTGAGAAGCTTACCAGATAAAGCAGGTTAGTGATTACGGGAGTTTGTTTCTTTAAGAAAATCCTCGCTAAACAAGTTCTTCTCCGTTCTGTGCTTTCCTTAAACAACTAAGTTCTCTTACGTATAATTTCAACAGCTGCCATTTGGGGGCAGTCATCAGAACTCATGCATTAAGATAATCATACAGACTTTGAAATAAAAGTATCTCTTGTATTTTTAGCTAATTTGCAATATTCAGTTTTCAAAAGTAGGGTCTGTATAAGATACAGAGTTCCAGGCCAGATTTCAGTCACAGTTTAGAACAACCTAGAATGTTCTTGACCCAGACAGCCTGTACTCACTCTTTCACCTGCTTCGGACCCTACTTTTAAACTTGAGACCCTCGTTTTCACATTTCCAAACCCCCTTCACTTGCTCTACTGTTTTCCAGAGAATCGGTCCCCACCTAAGACACTTCACAACTTGTTCACGGTAACTGTGCCTCAACACACAGGGGTGTAAGCTATGCGAGGGCAGGGCTCTGGGCCTCTTCTGTTCACAGAGAAAGTCCAGTCAAGTGTCTAGAAACATGCTTACCAGCAGATGGTTAATAAAAATATTTGCTGCACTGAGTAAGTTTAGAATTTTGAGGGTATCTTCTAACCCATGTAATAATATAATATTATTTATAATATTTAATAATAAATATTATATTTAATAATATAATATTAATACATTTAATACTATAATAATTTAATAGCAATAAACAACATAATTTAATAATATATAATTTAATAATATTTAATAATATCATATTAATCTATTACTATCACTCATGACTTCTTCTGGAAGTAGAACTTGGCAAACCGATGCAAGGCCCACCATATTGTCTACAGAGGCAGGGAGGGATGGGACTCAGTGTCTAGAGGCATTATTAAAAGATGATTTTTGTTCTAAAACCTAATTTTGGTTCTGCAGGATTAACATGGTTTGAGGCATGTATGATATGCGGCAGAAATATTTAAGTCTCAGGTCATTTGAAGCTTCTAAATACACACTGAAGTACAAATATATTCAGCAGCCAGGTCCTTAATTCACTTATTTGCCAAATAAATGGCTTAGAGTTAATGAGACATGAAATTTAAGAAAAGGTAAAAAAACAACCCAAACTGAAAGACCCATGAGAGTGTGGTATTTCATGTATATTTCGGGGCATTTCTACCCATCTGTGTTGGTAGGCGGAATCGGAAGACCCCCGGTGACTGTCCCTGGTGGTCGGTGGGCCACCCACTGGCGGGGGCGGGGGGGGGCAGTGTCCCCCTTACCCTGCAGATATACTGGTTCCGCTCCCCCGGGGAGAAGGTCTGGGAGCGCACGATCACGCTGCTGCGGACAAAGGGGCGCTGCCGAGTGCTCAGGCCGCTTCGGTCTTTGGGGCGAACTGCCACACTGGTGTCGCCTGCCTCATCCGTGTTTGTCTCTTTATCAACCTAGAACGGAAGTCAGACATCTGTCAGGCGCGGATGGATGAGGATACATTTCTGCTCCTTTCGCCCAGCTACAAAGGCAACAGCTGATCTCCCAACAGAGTCTCATCCGGCACTAGGGCCGCTTCTGAGAGACAGGCTTGGCGTTCCTCCCGATGGGACCCCGGGAGATGGTTTTCTGCCGAGTGGGAAGTGACCGACCTGCAGTGAGCAGGACGGTGTCACCCATAAATGGAGGTGCCCCCCAACACATCTGACCTACACAAGGAAGCCTTCAATTTCCACAGGGTAAATGTGGTTCTGTAGAGAATCTTGTTTAGGAGTACTTCAACACGAAATACCGTTCAACATGCTGATCCCTGGTTTTTGTGGTGGTTGTTTTTTCAGAACAACGATACAAGTAATCACACGTAAGAAAATGAAAATATCCTACAAAGTCATAGGTTTACACAGAATACGCAGTTATGCATACACGGAAATAGCAACCGCTGTGAAGCTGTGTTCGGATTTTCGCTGTACCTCTGGAAATGTAATAAAAAATAAAATTTAAGTAAAAACAGAAGTTTCTCAGGGCACTAACTCTACAGGCACAGGCAGACGTTTATTGTTGATCTCACGTGCATAAAAGGATTCAAAAGCTGCCTCGTGCTGGTCTGCTGCTTTGTCGGAGGAAGTCTTGGGTCAGGGCAAAGTACTATTTCCTCGGGAACAAAGGGCTGGAGTTTTGTAGACTCCATCATCGACATCCCAAGCATCCTCCACGCCTGAAAGTGATTTCCTGCCTCTGGGGATGCGCTCTCTACCAACACGTCCCTCCCGTAACCAGCACCCATCCCTACACCGAGCGACCTGCCACGTTCCAGAGCAGATCGCGGTCAGAGCACCACGTCACCGAGACGGACTTGAACGTGTCCACTCACAACATTTACGAAACGTGACGCAATTCAGTGGTCGTCCTGGTGTCAGCCGGGAAATTCCGGAAACGCTTTTAATAAATCCTCCCAGACCACTCAAACAGCTCTAAACAGCACTGTTCATCTTCTTACATACAACCGAAGTCACGCATGAATACTGGGGCCCATATGAACATCTTAAAGCCTCCTTTCACAAACGCCTGCTGTGAGCAGCTATGGCACAGATCTTGGTACGGATTTACACCCGAGGAGCCAGACTTAGCCTGCGCGCTGCCGCCGGAGGTCAGGCCGGCGGGGAGTGTGGCTGAAAGTGCTCACCAGGGTGGACGGCCCGCCGGGCGGCCGGCTGCCGCGCTCTTCAGCACTGCCGTCCTCTCTCCTGCCCACGTCCTCCTCCGCCTCGGGCACGCGGGGGTGCGAGCACAGGTCTCCTGCACGGCGACCGCCCTCGGGCAACTTCACGTCGGCCTCTTCTTCAGACGCGATTTCATCAGAGGCCTCCCGCAGCATTGTCAACCTATGGTGAGACGGAGCAGAACCACACACAGCTTGGGTCCGGCAGGTGCACGCGTGAGCAGAGCCACCTGGGGCGGACACCGCTCTCCCACAAGGAACGAGACTCACGTTAACGATTCAAGCCATCTCCCCGGCTCGAACTGCTACACGCAAAATGAAATCAGCAACCGACCCTCCAGCAATACGCAGCAAAATCACCATAATTGGGTACTACAAAGTTACATTAATGGAATCGGACCGAATTCTTAGGCGTTAAATTAGAAATATTCTGAAAATCACGTACAACATTGAGCCCCGCCATTTAAAAGCACTGACATTCACTTTAATGTAACTTGATTTCAGTTGTTTACTTGTGATAAAATTAATCCTCCAGCAGAATGGAGGGACTTCGCTAAAAGCGAATAAAGACATAAGCATTGAAAATATCCATCGTCGGGGTACCTGGCGGGCTCGGCGCATTGTGCAACTCTGTATCTCGGGGTTACCAGTTTGAGCCCCACCCTGGTTGTAGACACTTCTTAAAAATAAAATCTTTATAAAAAAAAACTTTATAAAAAACAACCGTGCTTACAGTCTAGCAGGGGTAAAAACCCTGCGTCAAGGGAGTTTTACACCTGAAATAACAGGAATCCTAAGGCCATGTGATCTTGTCTCTAACCAAAGCCATAGCATGGGCTTGGGTGGTATTACAAGCGGGGCCCCAGAATGTACATACGGGTTTACGTTCTGAATAAACTGCATCGACAGGAAAGCCTGGGTACCAGCGTGGCTTAGAATATCTCATGGTCTGTTGAGGTTCATGTCCTTAGGACAGTAACATTTTCTCCACTGATAACTGAAGGGTGGGCTGTAATTGTGATTGGTGAGACTCTTGGCAGATGGGCACACGCCTGTTATTAACTGCCTAGTCATGAGATGAGCACAGGGAAGCTGGCAAGGATTCCACGAGCTATAAATTCCTTTCTGCTACAAATCGAGTGTATTTTTGGAAATGTATGTGAAACAAACTGTGTTTTACACACACAAAGGTTTAGTGTTTAAAAATATATCATGATGGGCCTTATAATCACTCTCGTATTTATTTATTTTTTGCAGTGCTCTGACTGGTAATCACTGTAAAAGGCTCCTGACAAGAACAATGTATATCTGTACCTTTTTGCCTAACCGTAGTGAGCTGTTCCTTCCAAATGTCCAAGGTTTTGTTATTTACGACGTATCTTGTCAGTCTTCGTTTGTAACAAGTTTTTTTTTTTTTTTTTT